GCTGCTTCTGGAGCACCTGGAGTGTCTAGTAGCACGTCACGAGCGCTCCCTGCGGATGACTGTGGTCAAGCGCCAGATCTCTAGCCCCGGTGGAGTGAGCTCTGAGGTGGAGGTTCTTAAAGCCCTGAAGTCCCTCTTCGAGCACCACAAGGCCATGGATACGCGTCTACGAGAGCGTCTGCGGGCCTCCCTCGAACGCGCAGCTCAATTGGAAGAGGAGGTACGATCCTCGGCCGGTGACCGGGCCTCTCTGCGTGAACAGTTGGCCGCTGCCCTGGCCAACATTGCCGCAGCTACTTCGCACAATCTGAACAGTGCTACAGCCCCCTCCGGCACCACCCATGGTAAATCTCTTTTTTATGCGCCGTCTAGTTTTGCCCATGAATGCCATTCAGAGCAGTGTCTCATAGCGATGGCCATTTGGTTTTGTGCCAAAATGCATCACGGAGCTGAGGCACCCGTTTAGCAGCATGCTAGTTTAATTTTTCAAAAGATTATATCGGACGATGACAGGAGAATGCCTATTTGATCGTGATATGCGATGTAGTTATGACCTTTTCCAAGTAACCTATTTCGAGACCGATGTTCAGCCACTTCTCAAGCTGTTTCTTTTTTTATCGCGGAATGATTTGCGACTGCTTATTCAGCAGACAGAACAGCGTCTCATAGCGATGACCGTTTTTTCTGCGGACTAACTATGCCAAAATGCATTACAAAGCTGAAAATCCGTCCAGCATGCTAGTTTAAGGTTTCATAAGATTATATCGGACGATGACGGGAGAATGCTTATTTGATCGGGAATAATATTTGCACTTCGTGATACGCTGTCTAATTATGATCCTGTTCTAAATAACCCACTTCGAGGCCGGTGTTCAGCCATGTCTTAAGTTTTTTTTTACCGCGTTATGGTTTGCGACTGCTTATTCTGTAGACCTGATCGCCAGTCCATTCATCAGGCCAGTCCATTGTTAGCTACCTGTGGACGAGCTGGGCTACTCGTAGCCAGATAGACTACGACTACCGGACATCTTACCGTAGTTTTGGGTCTTTTTTCATAAGGCGCTCACTCAACGGTAAATTGCGATGCGTGGTAGCTCACGCTAATCTGTCCATCTGCGTGTTCTCATGATACGGCCACTTGCTGAAAAGTCTTCGTATCCAGGGTCCCACACTTTCTTCTGTCATTGCGAATTTTGTTATCACATAAGATTCCCTCAGTCAGATATTGCTACCTCACAATGAATGTGAAAAGTTGGTGTTTAGATTAAATTCACAGCTGAAATTATTAAGAATTGACTTTTATTTACGTTTCCGTTGACGCTATAACCATAGTGGGGTCTTTTCTTTATTCTGTGCCAGCCATGTTGGGCCTCGGTTTAAGTGGGACAGATGCTACTGTCCTCCTACACGTCGGTGTTTGAATGCGAGTCACCAATTGAGAAAATTTGACCGACTTTCGAGACAGTCGAGCCAACATGACCCATTCCTCGCTCCTCATAAAAATGCCACACTCGGTAGAATGTATTACCTTCTTTAGGCGAATTTTCGGCAGAGGAGTCTGTTTTATTTTAGGCTTTCAAATTGAGAAGCTGGTCAGGCAACATCCAGAAACATCATTTCGCTATATTCAGTATAATTACAGGGACCTTGTCTGAGTCTTATTCACTTGAGAAAGAGGCAACTAAAACCGTCTTTCAGGATGAACCAAGAGTGGGGAAACTTAAGCGAAACCCCTGGACGTTTTTCAAATTAAAGGCAATATTTGCCAGAGTTACAACTACAATCCCATGAAGGGTCGGCTATCAATTGAAGATGTTCGCAAATCCTGTCTAGATCGCGTTCCGAAATAAACGACCAATGTACCGTCTACTAAATTTGTATGAATTGCTAAGAGATATATGACTTCCGGGTTGATAAGCGCCCTGAGCAAAACGGACAAATTTCCGCAAGGAAACCTCGACAGCTTTGTGCCACACGCGGCCTCAGAGCGACTTTGGTTCCCTTTTCACGCACGCTGTATATTTTGTCCAGATTATTTCGCCAGCATCTCTCTGGACCTCCTCTATAGTTAACGCATCATTAAACGTTGTTAGAGGAAAATGTCGCTAAAGGGACACATATTCTGCCTCATTTTAAGCGCTGGTTAAACAGCTTTCGGCAGGGATAACTTGTATGGCCCCCCTAAACAGGACATGAGAACAGGAACTGCCCTGCGGCTGAAATGCCCGTTAAAGATCCCATTGATTTTTTATGCTATTATGAATTCAAATGTATTTTTTGACAACATGCACTAAAATACACTTTCGTATATTCGGCTTATAGCAAAGTACGCCCTCTTCAAATTTTATATGCAAAGAAAGAGAATCTTCTTAGTTTCAAAAGGCTTTTCGATTGCTGAAAAATTATGAACCTTACCTGCCGTCAGATTTCCGTTCGGGGTTTACGAAACAACACGCTGTATACTGTCCGTCTAAGGAAACTCAAACGTCTCTCTATTAGGAAGAAATCACATAATTATCCTAATATTTTGCAATGGACGTGGACAAGGTTGTATAATTTACAATAAGTACTAATGGATGGACAGATATGATACTTCATGAATGGACATTTAACATTCTTAAAAAATTTCACTATTAGAAAGCTTTTAAAACCGAAATGCTCTATTTTTCAAGGTGAATTTAATACCAGCTAAGTATGAGAAAGTATATTTTACTGCGTGCTTTCTGTAAAAAATATACTTTAGTTGATAAGAACATTGCAAATCAATGAGAAAAAGGCATACTACTGAAGTATCATACTGAAATTACCTTGCAAATAAACATTATAATGGAATGTATGTTAAGCTTACGAATTCTTTGCAGATTCGTGTTAAATCCAAACAAATCCTTTTATAAAAGTATACTTTCAAGCCGACTGGTCTTTGTTTCCGTTGTCGGGAGGTTATTATATCCAGTCTCGTAAATCTTTCACACAAACAACACCACTGAGGAGCGGCTACGTGAGCTTTATTTTGATCTTCCGAAAGTCGGTTGTGATACACGTATCCCGATGTGAAACACCAAGCCGGATACACCCCCGATTAAAGAGCGGAAAAGGAGATATCGCTCATTAAAAGTCTTAGAGCCTTTCATTTTGCTCCTTCGTCCAGCGTTACTCAGAAATTACATTACGTCAGTGCGGGGAAGAATAGCAGCCATGATCGATTAATTATAATTGCTGTTTCCGCATTGACAACTGGGTTTACTGAGTATCGTGTTTTTATGTTTCTCTTCCACAAAGAAGGACTGTCGGCCTTACTTAGTAACAACTGTCCTACCGGATCCTACGTCTGATCGCAAACATTCAGTTTGGCTCAACATCGGCAGGAATTTTTGACGATAGTTCCGAATGGGAAAAGAAGGCGTAGACTTGGTTGCGAGTGATTTTGAAGAAAAGTGATCCCAGGCCGATCTACGCAAGAAGCCTTCTGGTCTTTGGTTGAGCACATCTTAGTCTCCTTCGAAGATTATGTTTGAAAAAAAATGTCCTTCCCTGTGTAGCTTTTAGATATTTTTAAAAGAACATGCAAAAAATCCTTTGGGTGGGCGGAATATCTTTTGCTTAAATGTCAACATGTTACTATGTTTTACTAACTGACTTAGGATTTGTTTTTTGCCCATCGGCTTTGCAGTCACATGTAAGTACTTTTTTAAAAAAAATCGGAAAACACATCCCTAAACTTCGGCCGGTTGTTCACAATTTTAAGCACTCACTGGATGTCATCCTAAAAGAGGCAGCTTTTTTTCCTTTTGCGCCGTTAACGCGCAGTGGTCCCAGCGCGGTATCTCCTTGATATCGCTTTTAAAAGCTGTTGATCACTGTCTGGTGCAGATGCCTTAGCTCTGCTGAAAGAACCTCCGTAAGGCTTACAGGATAAGCGAATGCTTCCAATTTGTCGAACCTGTTATGGTAAGGGATGAACGGATGTTCCGTTTGGATGGTTTTTGCTGTGTCTGTCTCATTCTCTTTCTCCATTTCTCATGCACCCATGGAACGTCTGAGCCAGTAGCTGAGGTGGCTTCCGACGAAATTGTACGT